ACACAAAATACATTTAAAAAATGATTTAATAATGGTCAAATATGGAAACCACAATGTCTGTTATTTAAACGTATGTTTGTTTGTGTGTCTGTATTTGTAATGCCTACTATTTATTGACATAGATCTTTTCACACCCTCCTCCCATTTAGGGGCATAAAACAGAACCCACAAGGTAAATATGAATTGTCTTACAATGGTTCTTTGTTAAGGCTTACATGTGTCTCAAGGGAATATATGTATGTCTCAAGACTGTCCTTCTAAGTGACAAAAACTAGAATGTGTATGTTTCTGTATTGCAACTGTGTATGTGATGCACCTCTATTTCCTTCAATAGTCTAGTGAAGAACAGATGCGAAAGTGCGCTGGTAATTATACGCATGAAACATCCACAAATGTTCTCTGTTAATCAACAATGCTGGTGGGGGAAACAAGTCGTTCTCTGGAATATCTTGGTTAATAATTAAAAAAAATCTACACAAGCTATCAGACTGTCTTTCCTGTTTAAGCAGCAACTTATTATTATTTAGGAATTTGAATTATCAGCCAACCATTTGACTGTATCGATTGTGGAGAGAGAGGGAACTGTATGGAGTGAGGGAGAGAAGGTGAGGGAGAGAGAGTTACAGAGAGAAAGTGATATTGTCAGAGGGAAGGAGGGAGATGAACACAGCAGGGGGTTTTCTGTATGTGAGAAGAGCTGATGGGCTTCATCCTGCAATATTGACTGAAGGTAAGTCTTGATTTTTATTTATCCAATACACCTTTGAATAGTTGATTAAACTTTACATCAACGCCTCTAGGAAATCTATTTTTTGTGTGCGACTGGCTTTATTTGCGGCGTAACAGGTCGGACAGTGTGTGCTTAGATCTGAATCAGACTCCTGTTTAGGTTGATGAAATCCTTGAGGGATGAATATATTGGCAGGTAATACCATGCACACTGTATGCCTTTCCCTCTCATAATGTTTGCCTTGATATTAACTTTCCCTCTAGATTTCATTCACTGTAGTGACATCATTTGGTCTGAAAATGCAACAGGTGTCTGCATGCTTCAGGATGGCTGATCTTCTTTTGGTATTTTTGTATGCACATTAATGTCTGATGTCGATCTCTTTCACTTAATATGTATTTGGCTATTATTATTTAACTAAGATTGATTTGCTTTGTGTCAATTACCTTTTTTTTTTTATTTAGATGTGCTTACTTTAGGATTTGGGTAAATTTACATTACATTATTTTGTAACCAAGGCTTAAAATCACTGCATGTGTGTAATGTGTACTTTATTAAGATTTTTATTATTATTATTATTATTATACATTTACAATTTTATTTGCATTTTAGAAACATAGTACACCAAAAAGGGGTGAATTAGAATTGTTAATTCTTAAATGTGTCCCTTCTTCTTCTCTTCTCTCAAAGCTTATCCTTGATAAGAGCCCTCTTAAAATGAATAAGATGGTTTGAGAGAGCAACCGGAAAATCAGCCGGTTGAATATTTAAAAAAGCAGATATTGCAGCACTAATCTAAAAGCCTACTCACTAAAAACAATCACCTCCATCCGGAATAATGCCTGCTAATTGAAGCACTATTGTCACTTTCATTCATAATAATGATCTATTTCTCTTTAACAGCTGCATCACCATGAACCTCTCAGATCACATTTCGTCCCTCTTCAGCTGCAATGTCAGCACCGGCGAGCCGCCACAGCTATATATTAGTGTCACTAAAAGGGAGCCGCTGACAATTGCTGTCCCCATGACCATCTTCTACGGCATTATCTTCTTCTTTGGAGTAAGAACAGTCAATATACTCGGCTTACTTCACACACAATCAAATGTTACCTTCTGTGTTGAGTGTGTTGATAAAATACAGCGCTAAGCTAAATTGCAATTCATGCAATGCATGTTGATGCTGAAAACAAACCAAGGTTCTGTTTTAGGTCCATTATTATTCTCCATATATCAACAGTTTAGGTCAAAATGTGGATGGAGCAACTTTACATTTTTATGCGGACGATACCATGATGTATTGTGCAGGTCCCTCCATTAAGGAGGCTGTTGTTAAATTGCAGGCAGTTTTTTATATTATTCAGACTCGGCTCTCTGAGCTTAAGCTTCTTTTAAATGTTGATAAAACTAAGGTAAAGTTATTTTCAAAAGCCAAAAATACACCGGAGACCACTTTGGATATTGTTACTACGCAAGGACAAGTACTTGAAGTGGTTACCTGTTATAAATACCTTGGTATCTGGCTTGATAATTGCCTCTCTTTTAAACTTCAGGTCAATAATCTGCTTAGAAAGTTAAGGATGAAGCTAGGTTTCTTTTTCAGAAACAATTGGTAGATAGGCTGTATTTAGTATTTACACCATAACGGTGCACAGCGGATAGAAAGGGACACCTGGTGGTTAAAGCACATTATTGAATTTTATTAGCCTATTTGTATTATTAGATATTAATAGGAGGATGTGCAAAACAGACAAACTAATAAGGCTTAATTGAAACATTAAAGAATACTTTAGGTTAAGGTCTTCTTTTGAATAAGAAAAAAGCTTTGGGGGTATAAAGAAGAATATGGAGGGATGAAACCCTCTTTAATGGTCACACATGCAGAGCACACAGCAAACACAGTGACATTTGTATCTACAGATAAATATTAAGCCTGACAAAGTACTTAACGTTTCCTGCAATGTTAAATATGTTTAAGCGCTTATTTTAACTGACATTATACATATGTATTATACTCTTATAAGATGTCATGTATGTAGATAGGAAATGTGCAGAATATGACAGTTTAATGGTGGAGGTATACACACATATTGATAGATGTCTTGTAATGCACTGTTGAGGAACCTGCGACCCAAGTTTTTCATTCATTGCATAACTACACCGTAGTTGTGTATATGATATGTCAATAAACCTTAGAAAATCTTGAAATCTTGAAAGGGATGTGCAAAATACCAATTATATACAGTTTTTAATTAAGTATTAGTAGAGAATAACGAGTAATTAATATACTTTATAGAGATCTGCAGATAAATGTTTAGTCTTCTCAAGCATCAACTATGAAATATCTCTCCTGATTGTTGGCACTTGACAATCACCTTTCCCTGAATTTTACTCAGGTGTAACTAAAGTCTGCTTTAAGGGTTGTTTATATTTCACATCATTAATCAGAATCTACAAAGTAACTAAAATAAATGTAGTGGAGTAAAAATACCAGGTTAACCTCTGAATTGTAGTGGAGTAGAATTACAAAGTAACAATGAGCTGTCATGTGGGTATATATTAATGCTGCCCATTATGGATACAAGCGATTTTCACCCATTTAGTAATTACATGTTTTACATTTGATAACACCAATGTGTTTCCTATGGCAACTTCTAATTGTGGGAAAAACGAAAACGTTCAGTAGAGACGTCCCATAGAACATTTTGCTAAACACAGTACCCATGTGTAGTTCTGGGGGGGCGTTCGATTCCAGTTTTGAATAGTCTGCCGTGGTTTCGTTCCATTTCAAAGAGCTTGACGCTCGGCGTAACCTTGGCGCACTGCCACTCCAACATCCAATCCCAGAGCTTGAAGATTAATCACAGGGGACTGTAGTCCTAAACGATAGCTGGGGATTATGGGTAGTGTAGTGTCTTCGGCAATCCTAAACTCCTAGAGGCCTACGTCTGTTTCCGGTTAGTTTTATTTTGAAATTCACTTCCTGACGGATTCCAAAAAAGCCAGAGATTATGGAATTAAACCAATAAATAAAAACAAGGATAATTGTGTGTTATTGGTGAGTAAATAACAGTGTGTTATTTTGAAAAGAATAACAAATTAGAAGGAAAAAAATATAAAAAAATACANCTCCTACCCCTTAGTATTATTTTTGCCACTTCTAATCAGTTCTCCTTTAAGGCCACTACACACCACCCTGAGACCAAAGAACGCGTACCGAAGGCGTCCCGACTTTTACGTCCGCTACGTCGCCTGCGTCGGCTACGCCGCCCGCCTACGCCACCCGCCTACGAACACACTGCAAAGACTTCAGTCAACGAGTAGCAATAACTGAAAAACATGTGCCCGTGCATCTCCCCTGCCACCACAAGATGGTGACAGGGGAGATTACCTAACCCCTAACCCTAAATGTACTCGAAGAACTAACTTGATTTATATATATATTAATAATATAAGATATAATATGTGACTTTTGTGACTGGGTAAGTACACAACACGGGAGTCGGGACGTCACGTGCCTCAAAGGTTGAGCTCCGCCCACGTTGAGACGTTGAGGCATTGCGCACTGCATTGAGGGGTACTACCACTGAACGGGCGCAGCCATGACGTTGAGGGAAAGTACCCGGATGGGTTGCTCTCATCTATAAAATGGACAATTACTGAAACATAAGTGGCAGCCCATAGCCATGCCAGGGCTAATAAAAGAAATAGGTCATTGTGTCCTTCTTCCAATACTCCAGTTTTTCTTACTCATTCAGATGACTCAGTACACTTTGCTGCTTCAAACCATAGACTCTATGCTTCAAACTCATGTTATTTACCTGTATGGGGTCAAAGGTGTGTGTCTTGGGTTATGCTGTATAGTTAGTATTTTTGACTGGGCAGTAAAGATATTAAGATGCCATATGAGTCTGTTGTTGTGAATTTGTTTTTACTAAAGATTAACTAGACAAATTGGCCTTTGTAATGTAAAATAGTTGTTGAGGTTTAAACCTGTTTATATTGACATAACTTTACACTATGTCTGTCATGTTAGTGTGTGTCTATTGATCTGCCCCATTGTTGAATGACATCACAGGTTCATTGACTCTCAAATGTGTCACTTTAGTGCAGACTGGTTAGATACAAGTGTAATTAAAGACTTTCCAACCACTCACAATAAAATCTACTCTAAATGATGCATGATTTTGCATATGGCTCATGTTTTAAATTACATTTAAAAATATCTAAATTGTGGGAGACATTAGAAAATATCACCAATAAAAGAAATTGCACAGAATTGTTCCATTGTTTAAACTTTAGTTTAATATTGAGCAAACTGAATCAAGTCACAAAAGAAATATTGTACAGGTGGTCACAAATGTGCGTTATCTTCCACTGTGAAGTACAGTTTGCTGTAAATACATACAACTACATGGCAGTGGGAAAACAGCACTGACCAATGTTTTAATTTTTGATTTGGCATGTATAATATTAAATAATGTCTCCTAATAATAAAAGATCAATTATTAATCATTCCCCACTGTGAGATATCACATATCACAGAAGGTTGAAGGGTTCTCCCTGAGCTCTAACTTTACAAAGACTGTTTCATCAGTGATTATAAAAAGGAGAAGAAAAAAAAGTTCCAAAATGTCTACCTGTTCAGGACTTAAGTAAAACTAATTTCTGACATATCAGCAGAATTACTCACGATAGCTTTTGAGGTATCCCTTTTGTTTTCAGTCATTGTTGAATTCATAAGGTATTTTTGGCTATTGCATTTAGAGTGCGGACCTTGTTCGCATCTGTCACCTTCAGGCCGTACTCAGGTGCTGAAAAAGCTGCTCCCATCGTCACACAGGTGTTCCTGCGTAGGGGAATATCAGTTTTTTCAAAGCCTATAATTGCAAGAAATCTTGGAATGTATTAAAAAAAAAAATCCTACATACCTGAATTTCATGGCAGAATCCTTACTGGAGCGGGCAGAGCCGTGAAACTCTTGAGCACCCGAGCCCTCTAAAATTCTCTGAAGGTTCCTTTCAGTGATACCTCCTCCTGAATACAAATAAAAAATAGATTATCAAATAGTAACAAACCATAACCCTAACCATTCTTGTCTTCTATAGAATAGGGTACAATGTATCCTTCCTCATTCACAAAAGGAAAGGAAATAAGGCAGTTGAACAATTATATCACCTAAAGGTATGCTGTCAATAACATCCACTGTTTGTATTGCAAATGTTGGAAAGATTGAAAACATCCTTACTTAAAGTGCACAGAACTAAGTATTTTACTGTATACATTGTACATGTGTTTTATATCTCTAGGCATTCCTGTTCAGAGAATATTGTGACCAACTCTATATTGCACACTTGTGGTCCAAGTTCAGAAAAGCAATCTCCCAGATACTTCAAGTAGCTGAGTATATTATATATAAGAACTAGATGGTGTAGTACAAGTGTCATGGATAAAGAAATTAATACTTTACAAACTGCTCTAAGAAATCTAAGTTTATTTATATTTGCCAGTTTAATGACTGAGAAGAAATTGTCTGGAGACATTGTTATAGTTGTGTTGTTTTGTAATGACATGTCTTTAACCTGGAGCGTTCAGTCTCCAATACAATTTTGATTTGATTGATTATACAAGAAACAAGTACTAACCTGGCATGATGGCAATTCTCCCTTTAGCCTGTTGAAGATAAGAAACAGTGGAGTATAGGATATAAAAATTGTAGGAAGGCAGAGACAAAAGCTGCACATTTAAGTAGCCTTGCCATTCTCCTGTGATTGCATTCAACCATGTATGTGTACATAAAATGTATACATACCTGATCAACGAGCCGTTTGATGAGAGGGAGTCCCTCCAAAGCAGAGTTCTCACAACCACTTGTCAACAGACGCTCGAACCCCAATGATATCAGAGTCTCCAGAGCAACCACTGGATCGTGAACCATGTCAAACGCTGCAATAGGATCAATATCAGTTTAAAAACATGAGTTGAAAAGTCTTTCAGGGCAATGTAATCACTCTACTTGCTATTATTCCATTGAGGTTTTTCTGTAGTGTAGTTGCTGGCAGCTTCATGGAATTAAAATGATATGTTTAAGTTGAAGAATAAAAATCTTACCTCGGTGGAAGGTGACTGGTAAAGGTCGGGCAGCAGCTAGTGAGCGAAAAATGACAAACAGAAAAGTACATTAAACAATACGAACCTCAAACTAAATACAATCAAAAGATGCAGTATGAAAACATTGCTTATATGGCTTCTATAAACCATAGAGACATGATCAAGTAAAAATGCAGACAATACCCAGAAACTCCATACAGAGCTTTGCATCCACCCGTCCATCCTCTGTCAGGGATCCCAGCACTAGTCCGTCAGCCCTGTGGCTCTTCATCAGCTCTATGTCCTTCCTTATCACCTCCACTTCCTGGTCTGAGTATAGGAAGTCCCCCCCACGAGGCCGTATCATGACGTAGACTGGGATCTTTACATACTGCTTCACTACCTGCAGCAGACCTGTGGCAAAAGCAAAAATAGTGGCATAAGCAAGTTTTTAGGTTGTGTTTCTGTGTGTGACTTTATTTAACAGTGACAGTGCATGAATCCTTGAGTTTAAGAGAGAGGTCTTAGATGTAAGCTAACCTTCCTCTGGCTGCCAACAGTCTGAGAAACTGAGTAAGACTTTGGAATATTCAACCTAAAACAAACTTCACCACAATGGTGAGCAACTATGATAAGCAGGTGCAGCTTTAAGTGTAATAATTTAATAACAAAATAAAACAACAGACAACATGGAAACACCTCATACACTTTATTTCTGATAAACTAGGTTCTTAATGATATGAAGAAGGAGTGGTATATGGTAGAGTTCCTCTTGTGTAAGCTGTTCCAATTGAATTTTCTTCAAGATACAAAAGGGTTTATGGTTGTGGATGAATGAATGCACACAAATGAACTGAGCTCACCTAGACTGGGCGTGAGTCCTCCCTCAAGAAGACTAGAACACAGTTCAAGTCGACCTGCACCTGTCAGGAGAGACACATGGTCAGACCTTTATGATCCATGCCCTTTGATAAATGAAACAACTGTTTATGCATGTCCATTAATAATCAGCACTGATAAGGACACGATATACCCGAGACACTGTCTGCTTAACTGCTTTATAATGTTGAGTTTAATACCAAAAGCACAACAGCGTGGACTAGACATGACCTACCTCCTCGTTCAGCATTGATAGCAGACTCCACGGAGTCCACACACGCCTCCATCAAAAAATTCTGAGCCATTCTCACAGCCTGGATAGTGATACATGAAACAGACAGACAGTAGCAGAAAGAGATGCATTGTGAATGTGTTAAATGAAACGCCCAAACTAAATTAATGAGACGTCTTGACTTCCAAAACAACTACCTTTCAAATCAACTTCCTCTTGATTCATGGGAGCATTTCAGGGGATTAGAAGTGATATTAAGTCAGTACATTGGGGTAACTGGTTCATTTCAGCGCCAACACGGTTATGGCTAGAAAGGATCCGTCTTGTGTAAAACTCTCGCGAGAGTTTGGCTGAATGTCACGTGGCTGAATGTTTACGTTTGGCAGGCAGCCTTTCAGTTACGATCGTTAACATCAGTGGGCCACAGCAAATGATGATGAGAAGCTAAACTATCTATTAATTATGTCAATTACAGGGAGTGTGATTGTTGAAATAGGGTGTTAGCGGTCTTGCTGGTGTTCAAAGAAGAATGACAACACTGTAGATCACCAACACTATGGTTTATTTTTTATTCACAGGCAAGTCAACGTTGTCGCAGTAAAAGTCCCAAGATAGCTCCTGGTGCAATACAAATTTCCCTTGCAGTGTTTTACTATTATGTCTGATGTTTCTCTATTAATATTGCTGCTGCATTAATGTGTATGTTGCATCATGTTACTGCTGTAGATGTGTTTCCGAGCCGCTCCAATTACAACGAGAGTTACAACGAGAAAGTGACGTCATTTACACTAGACGGATCCAGCGCCGTATAGATAGTTATAAAAAAATAATAATAATACGGCGCTGGACGGATCCTTTCTAGCCATAACCCGCCCAGACCTACCAGTGGATCAACGTTTCCTGGTTAGTTGAATTTCAAACACACGGTATGGTGGATGGGCGGTGCTTTACTGGTTATGCATCAATACTGGGATAGAGAGAAGAGCGTGGCCGCCCATGCGGGATACGCTAAGACACAAAACATGCACCAACGACCTCGTCCCGTCTCGAGATAATACAATTTATAAAATAATACAACATTCATTATTCTGATAAGTCTTTTAAGTGCTGTGTTTTAAGTCCATCAAAAGGGGAAAAAAATGTTGTCCTCGCTAAATGTCTGTGACGTCATGAGGTTAAAGTTGAATTCGACTGTTAGGAAACCCTTTATATATACAGTGGAAACCAAACGAACCCAAACAGGTTGTGTAATAGCCGGATACAGCTTTAACCCATGTTTCATATTTTCTACATCACTTCAGGACCAGTTATTAGATAAAGCTCAAAGATGCTACTATCTTCACTACGGACAACCTTGTTCTACGGCTGCAGAAATGTTACCAAGGGATTTCAACATAGCCCTGTGAGTATATAGCGAGCTCCTGATATAAGCTAACTAGCTAGAGAAGAATTAAAAGGTCAGACTGCACTGCAAGCAATTTACACTTATATCATATAATACGATACGGGAGACAGTGTCGAAATGCTAGCCCATCAGCTAACACCTTTATGTTTAACTTTGCCGTGGTTTTTAACGTGTATTAAAACAAGTTAGTGCATCCTACGTTACCTGGGTGTTTGTACTCTTCAGCAGTCACGTCCGCATGTAACGTTATCAGTCAAATGAATAGCTCATTTTAAGGTTACGTTAACAACTTCCCATGATACCGACCTTACGTTCGCGTTTATGATAAACCAATATTATTAATTTCGTTATAACGTCAGGAATATAACTTCGTTATTTAAATGTCCAATAACTACATTTCCCTATCGACCAGAGACACTGAACCAAACCTGCAAATATTTTACAAATAAGAGTGTAAATGTATCATAGGAGAGGTTATAGGAGAAAGCAGGGTCATCTTGTGTGAAATGCTCAGATGAATGTAAACACCTGAATACTACCCACCTCATGTGAGTCTTGTTTTATTATTAATAAATAATCAATATTATGCAATCTCCACCGTTTGAGAAGAGTTTTAGTTAATACAAAATACGTTTTTTAAACTAAATTGTGAACTGGCTTTGTATAACCACATGTTATGAAACCAACATTACCACATGTTATGAAACCAACATTACCTAAGCCTTGGCCCAAGGATGGAAGAAAACTTTGTTGAAGCTTTCATTGGGTTGTTGTTCATTTAGCAAGGTAAATGAGACAGTTTTTTTTCTCTTTTTAAATGTACAATATCAGCGAAGTCCACAGCCTCGACAATGGCTTGTGAAGAGAGGTCAGAGCACCATCACTGTGGAGGCTGGGGCTTCCTCCGCCCGGGTAGCAGCTACTGTCCCCAGCGTGGCCACAAATCGCATAGTAGGTCGATGGTTAATCGGCTGCAGCGGGCTGGTGGTTGGGGCTATTGTCTTGGGTGGTGTCACAAGGTAAAGCGACGTTTGTTTGTTTATTACAGTCGTTCTCATATTCAAGTGGTGTTGATAGATTGTACTTACTGTATATGTGCATTTGTTTCATCAGGCTAACAGAATCAGGACTTTCCATGGTTGACTGGCATCTGGTGAGAGAGATGAAACCACCTCAGGGGCAATTAGAGTGGGAGGCTGAGTTCTCAAAGTACCAACAGTTTCCCGAATTCAAAATGTAAGGCTCCAACCTTTCTGTTTACCATATGGCACACTTTTTAAACGCACCCCATCACTTAAAATGAAAACACACGTTTGTAAGCGGCCTCATTTTTTATTAATTAATGCTGGTGCTTGAGGTGTCAGCTAAATTTGTCATTTTATTTCCACAGAATGAACCATGACATGACTCTCCCAGAGTTTAAGTTTATCTTCTACATGGAGTGGGGCCATCGTATGTGGGGGAGGCTGGTTGGACTTGCGTACATCCTCCCCACCGTTTACTTCTGGAAGAAAGGATACTTCACTCGCTCCATGAAGGGAAGAGTGCTTGGACTTTGTGGATTTGTCTTCTTCCAGGTAAGACTCAATACAACTGCGTTGGTGGGAGACTATCTTAGAGAGTTCATCCTTTTTGTACCTCTCTTTTCAGTGTTACTTTTTCACACAAAATGTTTACACTTTTATTTTTCAAGATAAGCTTTGTAGTGTCTGTAATCAAATTGTATGGATGTCACATTATATAAAAAACCAACAACACATAAGTAACTGTCCTTGTGTGTGTGTCCTCTCAGGGACTTCTGGGGTGGTACATGGTGAAAAGCGGTCTGGAGGAGAAGCCTGAGTCTCATGACATCCCGCGGGTCAGCCAGTATCGTCTGAGTGCTCATCTTGGTTCGGCCTTGTTGCTTTACTCCGCCAGTCTCTGGACAGGGCTCACTCTGCTGCTGCCTATACACAAGGTACAGAAGCAGTCTCCTGCATTCAATTCTCCTATGATAATACCAAATATATTTTATTTCAGTCTGTGTGAGCAAATGATTTGTTTATTATTGATGAATGCATCTTTCTCACAGGTGGCAGAAACCAAAAACCTCACTCAGCTTAGGAGGTTTGCAAAGGGTACCGGTGGAATCGTCTTCCTTACGGCTCTTTCAGGTACTTTTTTGTATTTTGTGAATGCAACATCATACACATATTCTTTTGAATGTACTTATGATGCTTTACGTTTCTCTTATCAGTTTTGGTAGTACAGTGCAATTTGCTTTAGAACATGTTTAGACAGTTAGTTAATACAAGAAAATGAAAGTTGTAATCTAATGTAGGATAGATGTATATGATTTCCATATATATGAATATTAATTTCACAAATGCTTGATTATAGGCGCTTTTGTTGCTGGTTTGGATGCTGGGCTGGTGTATAACTCCTTCCCTAAGATGGGAGAACGATGGATCCCAGATGATGTTCTGGCATTCTCTCCAACCCTCAAAAACTTTTTTGAAAATCCCACAACTGTGCAGTTCGACCACAGAATTTTGGTATATTATTTCTAAATGGAATTTTGTATCAGTATGAGGCATGTGGATGCAGGTTGTTGATTGCATATTGTGTTTTCTAGGCTATCTCGTCTTTGACGGCGATCACAGGCCTCTTTCTGCTCTCAAAGAGGATGTTGCTGCCCAGGAGGGCTAAGATCGCCATCAACCTTCTCACAGCAATGGCCTATGGACAGGTAGGCTACCAGTTAGCTCAGAAACATGTAACCTCTGTTTTTAAATGTCTATTACTCCTCAGTTTAACTAAACTCTGTGTGTTTGTGCTCCTCAGGTTGCGCTCGGTATCAGCACCCTGTTACTCTATGTCCCCACTCCACTGGCAGCAATTCACCAGTCTGGCTCTGTGGCTCTTCTCTCACTGGCTATTTGGGTTCTGGCAGAGCTTCGCAAGATGCCCAAGTAAACGGTTCCTCCATGAGGGAAAAATGTAATCCCTAATAGCCACACTTCAAGACACTAAGAGCCAGCAGTGTCCTTGTCAACTTGAGGCCTTCACAGAGAAAAATGAAACATGAAGCATTAAAAAAAGTTTAATTCAACACTGGACTATTATGCATATCTCTCCCGTGGTGACCAACGTTTCATAACAGGGTTTTAAAAGCAGGGTGTTCTTGAAATGTTGATCAAATATTACGAGAATACATCAAGACCATCGTTGAGAAATCGAGTGAACCACGAAGATGAAAACTTGATGTGATTTGTTTTGTGAGGATTGAAACAAAGCGATGCAAAAGCAAACAGATTTTCAGTTTCTTGTCAGCTTTAATGACAAGATTTCCATGTTCATAGTTTTAACATAAGGCTTTTTGACTGAATATGGTTGCTCACCTGTTGCCTTGTGTGGTCATAAATTGCCTATTAGTTTAATCAGATGTGGCTGTTGGGATTATATGTATGCATTTGTATATTTAAGTTATGAACCGTTTCTTCCTGACATTGTGGTGCTGAATTATGAGGTATAACCTATGTAGATTTTGATGTGTTGCTTTGTACCATATGTCAACAAATATAAGGATAAATGCACTATCCTATTTGAATAAAATTCAAACTCAACTCTATTTTGCATAGTAACTGTGATTTTTATTGTCTCTGTACAAAATATACACATTTTGGATACTTTATGCAACCGGTTGAGGCTAGCTAACTAGACAGTCAGTACAACGGGTTAGTAGGTTCTTATTGTTCTAGACACAGTACATGCGGGTATAGACTGGTTTTACTTGTGGTCTGGAATAAAATCTAAAAACGATTGGCAAGGAACAATCAGAGTCAAACCACTTTAACCCCAGACGGAAAAAAAAATAAGAACAGAAAAAAAGAAAATTGCAGGGCTGGAAGTGCATATTGTCATCAGGGCCATAGTGCTCCCTGTCACTGTGCTCTGAGAAGATTGCGAGGTTGAATGGGTGGAAAAGTGCTGATAAGGGGTGGACATTATTGCTACTCCATGTCAGTCTTTGCATTTTAAGGAAATAACCAATTAATTCAACGTTTGACGGCCTCTTTCTTACACCCTGATAGATAGACAGTATTTCTGGTGGTTGCAAATTATTCACATGCCTTTCTAATAAAGTGTCGGTTAACAACTCTCAACTACACTTGATTTTGGGTAATGTGCAGGAAAATCACATGGACATTTTACCCAATTACATGTCTTTATCTCTGCTTGCCCCTTGTCATATTGACAATACAGCATCACCCTCTCTCTTCACCCACTGGTGGGCCTTTTGTCTTTATTTAAAGTGGCTTTATAAACATCTGTAATTTATATTTGGTCTCTTTGGTGTAACAGAGAGAGGGAGAATAGAGAATGAGGGGTAGGGGAACTATGTTTTTAAATCACGTCTCTCACTAACAGCACGCACACACATACTATGCCTCTTTGAAATTGAATGAGCCTAATTTAATGCAACAGGGGTTTTGAATATTTTTTAAGTGGTAGAACCTGCTACAGCCACACAACATTTCTGATTACAAGAGGTTCACAAGTACAATCTGCAATCTAATAATTCCCCTTTGATGTAAAGAAAGACTTGTACGACTGTGGTATGCCTTTCCTCTGTCAAAGGAGGCTGGGATGATAAAAACAGCTTGTTGAGTATAGTGCAACCCCCACATTGTACTGCCTAATATCACACCAATGGGAATGCTAGAAAATGTACAACAGTCAATAGACACCTACAGCTAGGACTGTAATAGTTTGGAAGGCTTGGGAACTATTCTACTAGAATCCCATTAATGGAGGTTGGTGTTGCCCCTTTACATGAGAAAAATGGGTGACATCTCTTTCTGTTACACATGCACACACATGTACACAAAGGGTGAGGCACCTGTGAATGACTAAGAACAGCAGACAGACAAGCAGACTTTGGAGTATCTCTGTAAATAGATATATTAGTGACATCATCATGCGATATTGTAATCAGTTCCTCGTGGAACAACAACACGATTGAACCTCCATCTGTAAAACCAAAATGCTTGGATCTCAAATTTGTCAGTTGTTTCCTCAGGAAGTGTCTTTCTCTCTCTCGTCCACAAGATGGCGGAAGATTCATTTCTATATTCATGGCCGGTGGAGTCTTGCGGCTCCAGGGAGATTTTACCTAGGCCTACATGCACAGAGACAGGATCAGATTCACAAATCCAAATCTCAGCCACCACAGGGAAATAGGAATAGTGATCTTAGATCAAGGTTTGGAGGCAACTTGCGCCCTCTGAGTTCAGCCAGCACATGCTGCGATAGATCCTCCATCAGTAGTAGTAATACATAACAGTTCAAACAAAACAGGTGTGTGCCAGTGCCTGTGATCTCGCTGCTGTCCTTCTTACTCTGTGCCTCCGGGGTAAAACTAAGGTTCTGCATGATGAAGGAAGTGAGGAAAACTCCATTGTTGCTGGGACAAATGTCCCGGGGTCAGGGTAGAGGGAGACAGTCTCTCAGTGTCCTCAGGACTCACAGCTCTCAACAGACACACAAGCACAAGCTTGCAAGTCAGAAAAAGGCCACACATACGCACACATTCACAAATTCTCTGTCTCTTTTTAATCCCAAATCCTCTCATACACAGACATACTCCCCTCCCTGGTGCCAGGGACTCTGATCCAGGTTCCTAGATGACGTTGTCAAACAGCTGCATGGACTGCATTATGCTCTCATCCTAGAAAGAGACAAGGGGTTTGGAAAAGGTGTTATTTCTCATTATGTGAAATCCAAATGATTCACAATAAGGTTAGTAAAGATTGTAAGGTACAGTCAACCAGTAATAACGCCTACTCAGGCCCTTTCCAAAGTAAAAATAAACACCAACCAGCACCTCCAAAGCCCACTAATCAACATGTTATGTCACATTCTTTATAGAGAGTTAAATATTTTGTTATGCTAAACTAAGCTAATTGGCTCAAAGCTTTAGGTACACATTTAACATACACACATGAAAAAGTAGTCAATATTAGTAAATGTTATACTGTTCCTTCAGGATTTAAAATCCACTTTTTCATCCCACCTTTTTGCATGACTCTATGAACTCTTCTATGGTGACCACGCCGTCTTTATTCCGGTCCATTTTCTGAAAAAATAAAATATAACAGGAAAACATTTATTCACTGGAAAACAGTAATTCAATAATTGTGTCTATTTAAGGAATAACCCTTTGAGATGTACCATCTGGTTTTCAAGGGGGGCCCTCAACGTTGATAATACAATATAAGCACAAGAAAGTAAAAAAAATAGCAATGAAAATAAGTGAGGAATTGTTAAAAAAAAGAAAATATCAAACGAATGATCAAATAGTTACAAAATCAGGAGTGTTTTTCTTCCAATCCTCTAACAGTCTCTGTTAGAGGGTAATCAAGAATCAGTATTATCTATCAGTAATAGATATAGACCTGGAAGAAGCTCTCCACATGTTCTCGTGGAACATCGTCCTGCATGGAGGGGTATGTGTACTTCCCCATCATGTCATAGATGGACCTCATGATGTCCAACATCTCCTAGACAGAACAAGGACAGGACAAAAGAGCGAACATATTATTGAAGATGTAGAATTAGTTAGAAAACATCAGTTTGCTGTGGTCAGGTTTATTCTTTTAGAAGTATTGAGGTCATGAGTCCGAGAGCATAGTTTTTATTTCGTCTTGTTTGATTACAAAATGATTAACTTGCATTGAGTATATTACACAATGTTCATTTGATTTGAATGTAGTTTAATATGGTTAAATATGACATCTGTGACAAATTCCGCTTATATAATGGTTATTTATAGCCATAAATACCACAGGGAATGATTGTCATACTGAGGCAAAGTTCTACATTTCAAATATATAAACTGATGTATTCAGGGATCAAAATCTGAACAGACAATGTCAATTCTCACAAAAAATGAAATGTAATATCGTACTTCCACATATCCCAGAACACCAAGGACATGACCTAGTCATTCGTATGTCTCTCGCCTCCTCTTCCAACCCCACCCTAAACCTCCACCTGCCTCTGCCCCACAAACAGCCACTGTGTTTACCTCTTTGGTGATGCAGCCATCTTTGTTAAGGTCATAGAGGTTAAACGCCCAGTTTAACCGGTCATTTATGGTCCCTCTCAGGATAATAGACAGGCCAAATACAAAGTCCTGAAAAGATTGCAAATCATTTACTGCTTTGTTTAGGCACCACTTCAATCTTGAAACAGTAAATACAGTCAAATCGTCATCACAGCACTAATCTCTGTAGGCAGGCATTACAAGGAAAACATATTTGTGATGACACAGCAGTGGTGGAAAACTTCACCGGAGCACACATTTGTTGTTATTTCTAAATAGGAAACCGATATAAAAATAGAGCTCACCTCGAAACTAATAGAGCCGTTCTTGTTAGTGTCGAAAGCTTCAAACAGGAAATGTGCATACATACTTGAATCTGCAAAGGTAGAGACATACAATAACCTGCGTGCCCTCAAGACATGAAGCAAAGTCTTTCAACAGTATTAGCAGCCAGCTAAATATAGCCAAGATATAAGAATACTTTCAAATACAACTGGAGGGGAGTGGTTAACATTTCATCAACCAAAATATCATGAAATGAAAAATTGCTTTGCCTCCTAGCAGTGCGTATGGTTCAGCACTGCAGAGTACATTTATGAGTTAATTATGTTCATTTCATCAAGAAAATGTAAAATTAATTGTGTACTCTGCGGAATCAAATACATTGTGTTATTTGAATTTTTACCTGAAGTCTATGAAATAAATGAAGATGGAGAGAATGGTGAAAATTAAAGTAGTATGGACACAGTTGTAGATCTTCAGGTTTAGCAGTAGGGGGTTTGACAACTCACCTCCCTGTGGAAAGAACTGGGAATAAATTGTCTTAAAGTTCTCCTCATTCACCACACCACATGGACACTCCTGGGAAAGAAATGTAAATAAGGAAAATTAGTTCTCTGCTAGCAAATTAAGGATTACGTGGTAACTTTGGATCTGACAAGGCTTATACTGCTATCAACTCCCATAATGATGTAATAGAAGCAGTCTCTTTTCCAGCCAGACCTACATTTTTGAAGCCCCTGTAGAGGACTTGCAGCTCTTTTTTGGTGAACTTAGTCTGCTCCTGAAGCTTGTCCATGCTTTCAGGGCGATGACACACAGTGGATAACTCAAAATCATCTTCCACGCTGTCTGTGTGAGGGAGAGACCAGAGTTAGTTATCATCACTACACCCACAACAACATCCAGCAGCCAGGCAAACATATTTGAATGAAGTTATCAAACTGAAATTGAGTTTGTCATCCAAGTCTTATACAAAGAGCATACCAACATCCTTCATTGACAACAATGTTAGTCGTATTGTATTACGTCACTGTATCAAATAAAGAGTTATGCAATTGTGACAACTACGTCAAGCATTTTCCACACATCACTGTTCAAGGACATAATACTGTATTAATGCGTATATAAAAAGTCTACATTTCTCAAGTTCAAATTTCACTAAAGATACCTTAATCGAAACAACAATAAAGTGGTCTTGTGAGACAGCATCTTTTGGTTAAAATGTATTCAGTGTTTCTTGTGATTGTTTCTCTAAATGACTTAGGATTCAGACTTTAAGGAGCCAAATTACTTACAGAGATCTCTACCTGTCCAAAAAAAACAGACAGTTAGATCAGCTTGTTTTTTCTGAAAATGTAATATCTAGAAGTGGCTCTGAATGATCAATGTCTAAAATCCTTCGTCAAGTTTAAATATTCAGTTAAACGTAAAAGAACTGCATTGAAAAAATGTGTCTTGAAACTAGATACAAAGTCGATAAATGACTTATTGGCATTAACAATGTTAATGCATGCTTAAAGGGGCCACAACACCATTATAGGTGACCATGTCAAATCGTTACCCTGTTAAGAATTAAGTTTATTTGTTGGAAACCTTTGTGAAAATGTATGTACACAATTTAAAGAAACACACAACATAGGTAAAGTAGTTTATAGACAATTTAATGTCACCTATTGAACTTGTCAGAGAAAGTGAGAGAAGAGGATTAACAGGAACAAAAGAGGCGTTTCAAAAGGCATGGAGACACATCCATTCACAGATATATCTCATTTCATCTGTTAAAAATAACTGTCAGTAACCACACCGCACACTCACACACACACATTGCCCATAGGAACACACTCTTCAAATCCTAAACATTCAAAAAGGGGTCTGACCCATTTTCAGCAACGAGGTCGGACAGCGTGTGCTCTGACTGTTTCCCAGGCTGCGTGTACACAACTTCCTCTACATAAGCGCCTGGATGAATCGTCTGAATTGACTAAAGAGTCCAGATACAAGGAAGGAAGTGGAGATGTATAGAGAGTGAAGGAGCACTTGCTTTGACTGATAGAAGGGGCAGCCTCGGGCTTGCAGCATGGCAGCAGCTTGAGGAATCGCTGCTTTATGGTTTTTTTGCTTTGGCTGTTGGAAGGATTACCTGTAATCACCAACCATAGCACAAAGGTTAGACACATGCACCACACGCAATTTTCGAAAAAATCAAAGTCTTTTTTCACACACACATGCCTGTAAAAACCAAATAAACACTCCATGCGTTGGACAGATGCAACAACAGACTGATTCATGCCGTGTATTCAAATGGGTAATTGCCTGTTGACCTGGATTAGCGATGGGAGACCGTGAGTACCTCTTCAAACAGAGATATTATCACACAACAGCAGCACAGCCGACCCCTGGGAACACACAGCGTCCCTGATCAGACTGGCTCATACGTCAATGTTACATTCAGAAAAACTGTGACAAAAAAAGCCCATGCGTCAGTCTGATTAATTCGCAATCGACTTAAAGACTTAATTTCACTTGATAGTAGAATATAATTTGCCAGACAGATGTACTGCACAAAGCCTCCACCAGAGCCAATCACACCTGTCAACACTGAGCAGTTCACCTCAAAGCGAGCAAACCTCATAATTAAGGCATGTCTAACCGAAGAAGTAAAACACATTTGCAAATATGAGCCTGTGTACTTACACAGGTTCAGTCCTCTCACCCTATTTAGAAGAACGCCAGTGATCTGAGGGATGAAGGCCATGAAGGGGTGAAAAACAATACACCTTCACCGACTCTGTGTTGTTTTTCCCTGTTGTCTCTGCACCTCAGGGACTGTGGCCCTCCTGACCTGTGGCTCTGGACTCATTTGGAGCCAAAAAGGCAGAACACATTGTCCCATGGTTGCCAGATAAATACATCCAGCCGCCAAGCACTGGCTCAGCCCTCTGCCTCGAGGTCTCTTTGAGTGTTAATAGATGATTTTTTTTCCACATGGACCCGACATCTGCCAATTAAACCGGAAATCATATATTGACTGACCATCTGCCGAAGTTCAAAAATGAATCGGAGTAAATCTTTAAAATAAAGTAAATCTTTAATTATGTCTGATGGCAAGTAATCACATTGTATTTCTGATCGGTGGATGATGTAGCAAATGCTGCTACTACTACTGAATAGACTAATCTACTAAATGAACCACAACAAATAGGGTTTTATCAATTGCTGTTCAAAACCTCAAGAACTTCTATTCTTAAATCAACATGGATAAGAAATCCAAGTAGTCAGAGCGACAGAAATTACTCTCCTACTCTGTACCCCTCAAGAAAAACAAGCCCCTATGCTCCCCAGGCTTTACATGAGGGAACAAGCTCCCCAATAATATCATGAAGGATGCTGTTGCAGACCGAAAACCTACCTTTTCTTCTGAACAATAAAAATATTTCTCAATAGGCTGGCACTTAAAATGGTTATTTAGAGCTAATGTTTGTGCAGGATTCTTTGTAGTTTGTATCTTCATTGTTAATTGCATTACATACTGTAAGTCACTTTGGATAAATGTGTCAGCTAAATCAAATAGTACAACAGTAATGTCATACTTTATTCTACAATATCATGACAGCAGGTGAAAATGGAAGATGCTGGAAAATCACATGATATGACTAAAAGCTGTGGCCTCAGGGTGAGAGTGTTTAGTCAGCTTTTTTAACTATATACACTATGAATGGTTTATGTATAGTTTGTAGGTACATTTATTACATAGATAACATCATATTACATTTCATTAAATGTTTTTTAAGTATACATATTAATTGTAACTAGCAACTCTGACTGTAAAATAAAATGAGTATAGTATTTGCAATATTCCGGTTTTAAGATATAGTTGAGAGTAGCAAACACAAGTAGTCAAAAATAAAACTACTATACACAACATTTACTTAAATAATACATGTGCTTGCAACCAGTGCTTAAGGCATAACTTACAGAGAGTACATGAAACAGACGCAGAATTAAGTTTTAAAGCAACCTTCATAACACTGTTTATTATTGTTCTACAGATTCAGCTCGTCTCCAGGTGTGAGTAAACTAAATGTAATTTGTACTGATTGTTCCGAAGGCCTGCACAGTGAAAAAAGTATAAATCATTTTCGCTTCCTTTCTTCTACATGAAACACAGAGCTTGTTTTAGGACTGAGGCACCTTTCCCCCCCCCTTGTTTCGCAGTCCCCTCTCCATCTTCTCTGTTTCTATCTCTGTAGCTTTGCTCTTGCTGCTGAGGAAATTCCTTGATTTTTGTTTTTGAGTAAATCTGCTGTATCTGTCTTGGCCAAGTTTGTCTTCAGAGTGATATGTTTGTTCTCAGAGGGATTAACCTGATTTTAATGTGCAAAGGCACAGTGCCCTAAGGCCCCCTATATATTATAAATATTGCTCCAAAAACATCTTCGTAAACATCTAGCATCTATCTGAGAAACACAACCTGTATTTATTCTATTTTACAGCTCTTTTAAAGCATAGGATCAAATTAGAAGTCAGAGAGATTACTTATAATGTTGTACCTTGTACTCACAGAGCAATGTTGTTGAAAGCAGTCTTTTGTGAAAACTATGGTTACTGGGCTCATTACATTATAGAATTAACATGATTCATTTATTGGAATCCTTTGAAGTCAACATTGTTTTTTGAGTGGAACTAACAATGAGACCACAAATCCTTTCATTTTTGCCAGAGTAGTCCAAGAATTGTTTTTGCATATTCTTCATGAGTCAGGGGGAAAAGCAATTTGCCATGATCATCAGCTGTTGTACAGCGTAAAGATATTCTTCCCCAGCACGCCCTGTAGTCAGTGTGCAATTAGAGTTCAATAGTTTTCGGCAGGGTACACTGACGAACCATCACAACTCAGGAAATAAGAAAAACATATCTATTTTTAGCTTGATGGAAAACAATTTCTTTGCAACATCCAGTCATTTTTAAAGGAACTCTGTTTCATAGTGACACTGAAACTACTATCAACTAAAGTGAGGCAGCATAGTGTTACAGTGATACTGTACTGTAGATCCAACAATGAACCCTCAGCAGTAATGTCTAGGTCCTCCTGAGGTCTAGTGATACGTGAAGTAGTACTGCAATTTAAACTTTTTAATATATTTAGAACTGATGGACTTCCTGTTGGTTTGGTTTGTTGTCTATGTCTCTGTGGTTACTGGTTTTAAATGAGGCCTGGGACCTTTAACTTATATTTATCTCCTCCCACTTTTCCTACCTAGCTGCAGTGCATCTATTTAGTATTTCACTTTCGTAAATTAGGGGAAAAAATAAAAGCATGCCTGAAAATCAGTGCAGCATAGATAAATATAACCCCTCATATGGCTCCAATCTTCTCCACCCTACCTGGTTTGACACTGATGACATCACACGTGTTATCCTTCAGGCTTTAAAAAGCTCCCTCAGACACATTATGCTAAGTTGAGTAAGTTAGAAAGAAACACACCATACGTACTTCAGTACACACACACACACACACACACACACACACACACACACACACACACACACACACACACACAAATTAAAGGTATGTGAAAAAATGAAGCCAATCTATTCAAAGTTTGACACTTAAGCAAAAACACATGTAGACACACCCTTTCCAGCTGTGTCTTTTCCTAACATCCCAAATTCATTTGTTTGCGTTCTCACTCGCTAACCGTTTCCCTTACCTTCTGTGGAAAGGTCGATAAGCCCCAGAAAGTGCATTAGTTTGAGGGAGCTGCAGACCACCAGGAGGATGCCCACTGTCTGCAGCCCCTCCACCTCCCACTGTTCTTGGAAGAATAGATGCATCCTTTGCCCTTCCT